TTGCTTTCTCCTACTCTTGCTTGCCCATTGCCTTTGCATGCATGGGTATTTATAGTGAAAAATCCAACTACCCATGCACCATTTTTCTTTGCCTCGTTACCACCTGGCCAAGATTTTCTTTGCCCATTAAATGGGTCAACATGCAATCTTTGAAATATTTCAACAAATCAATCTAGCCCACAATTGGCTTATAGGCTAGTGAAGCAAACTTCCACATAGAAAGTCCATGTGTTCACATGCATGGGGTTGGATTTTCTTCCAACAATCTCCCCCTCCAACCCCATGGGAGGAGAAACCAACCATAACTCCAGCTCCCCCTGCTCAAGAGCACTTTATTATGGTGTCCTATTTTTGAAAGTTTCCTCCTAGTATAGGATAGGACAAACCTACACTAGGTGTACTATGGAAATTAATTTTGAACCAAAATATGATTCGAGGGAATATCACACCTCCTCGAACCATCATCAAACACCACTTCATTATTGAAGCACACTTTCTTCTTGGTCTTATTAATTTCCTTGCCATCTACCAAGATCCCTTTAGGCTTCCAAACCATCTTCCTCATGATCTTGTTAAGCCTTCGCTCGGGATGTTGCTCAAGCACATAGATGTTGTGCTTGTTCTTCCTTCCACATAGAACAAGTCTCCTACCTTTGTAGACCTTGCACCATTCTCGCTTTCTGACATACTTGTACCCTCGTGTTGTCAACTCACTCAAAGCAATAATGTTGCTTGAACACTTGGGCACATATCTCACATTCTTGAGAATCTTGGCTTTCCCATTGTGAACATTGAGACAAACATCTCCTATGCCTTCAATATTCACCTTCTCACCGGTAGCCACCGTTATTTTACCAAGCTCCCCCCGAACCAAACTCCCAAATTCCGAAAGATTATTGCACATATGCATGGTTGCAGCGGAGTCCAAAATCTATCTTTGATTGTTTTGCTCCACCTCAGGATCACACTCTTCACAAGCTAATACTTCAACCATATTCTCTTCAACAATATTAACCTCCCCCTTACCCTTGGTTTCTTGAATTTTCATCAATATTTTCATATTAGAAAATCCTCCTTAAACTTTGGGCATTTATACTGTTTGTGACCTAATTCACCACAATAAAAACACTGCACTTCACCATAATCCTTCTTAGGTCTGGATTTCGACCTTTCTTGATTTCCTCCATCTCCACGTCCATTGGATCTTCCCCAAGAGTGCTCCATCACCAAAGCATTAGTTTGATTGGCACCATCATCCTCCCCAAGAAACTTATCATTCTCCAACAACATGGATGTGACATCTTTCATCACCAAGATAGTCTTACCCACTAGCATGCTCTGCACTAGGGACTTGTAAGACTTTGGCAAGGATGCAAGTAAAGCAAAGATTTTTCCTCTTTTTCTAGAACATCCCCGGCATTCACTACTTGTGTGACCATCATGTTGAAATCAGATAAGTGCCTGTGAATATTAGTGCCTTCTGCCATCTTCAATTGATATAGCTCCATCTTTAAACACAATCGATTGGTTAAAGATTTTGAAGCATATATCTCTTCAAGCTTTCTCCACATGCCTATTGGAGTAGTCTTTGAAAGGACGTTGTATTTTACCTCTGGTGCAAGCGCCAGCCGAATTTGACTTGCTGCCTTCTTTTGGATAGTACTCCAATCACTATCCCTCACCTCAACTGGCTTGGTCTCTTCTAAAGCTGCATCAAGTCCTTGACAAGTAAGGACATCCTTCACAGTGCTTTGCCATAGAGCAATGTCATTTTTGCCATCGAACAACTCAATTGAATACTTCATGGCTTCAGTTTGCATTTTGCCACAACATCAAGAGCTCTACCAATAGCTCTGATACCACTTGTTGGGAATTTCGACACCATAATCCTACACAAACAGAAGCGATAAAGAAATTGAGACAACAATTTAACGTGGTTCGACTTATACACCTCTCAACAAGTCTATGTCCACGGGAAAGAGAGAAATAAATCCACTATTAAGAAAAAGAGTACAATAATTTGGAAGTTCTCTCACTTAAGAAGCTCTCAACCCCTAGCTTCAATCTATAGAAGCTCCCAAATTCTCCCTAATACTCTCTCTTAATCTACACAAGGATTTCTCACAATTTCTCTCTTTCTTTTCTCTCACAAGAGCTCTCACTCAATTTCTCTTGCTTTCTCCTACTCTTGCTTGCCCATTGCCTTTGCATGCATGGGTATTTATAGTGAAAAATCCAACTACCCATGCACCATTTTTCTTTGCCTC